TGTGTGTGTGTGTGTGTGTGTGTGTGTGTGTGTGTGTGTGTGTGTGTATGGGCTCTTTCCATACTTCGGCTATTGTTGATTAGGGACTTGCACTTTTAAAACAACAAAAGGATAGTATTATCCTTGAAATGTTTGCATTGAGTTCACTAGTTTATTTAACACACACAAAAGTCACAATGTAGTGTCAAACACCAGATAAATTTAGGATTTTTATTTTTAAAAGAATTCAGTGCATAGTGTTAGCTATGGTTTGGCAGGAGGATCTCTGCTTACAGGTGGAGGAGGAAGCTAGCTGCTTTTGTGTCTGCTGTTATACGGACCCCAGGTAGATGTCATTTGTAGCCTCCACTCGAGGGGCTTAATCCTCTCTGTGGGAATTGTTGCTGTGTGTTTTCAGGGGAAGACCGTGCCCTCTAATAATTTGCTCACATGTCTCTCCTCTTTGGGTATACAGATCCTGAAATACGACATTCTCACAAAGTCATCCTTAAAATGGGGACAGGAGCACTGCTGGCCAGCAGAACCCCTGTTTGTCCCCATGCCGGGTGCCAAGGGCGAGGATGATGGTAAGACTCCAGGAAGGGGAGCCCGCTTGCTGCATTCTGCTTGTGATCACCCCTCAGTCAGAGACGTCATTTGGAGGCAGTGACCCTCCCTCCGCATCCCCCACATCACACTGCCACTGGAGCCAGGCTTTGAAGCCCGGGTCCTTCTGAGTCCAAAGCTGTGAGTTAGGGAGTCCCTCTAAACACCGTCACTGCTGACACCAACTGCAAGTTCAGGGGTCCCCCAGTCCCTGGGTTTCGATAAAAGGATTCACAGAACACACTGAAAACTGTTAGGGTTGTGGTTTGTCACAGTGAAAGGATGCAGATTGAAAGAAAAGAGGCTCATGGGACAGAATCCAGGAGATTTCCATTCATGGAGTGTCTGGTTGTCCCAGGAGGTCATGGCCCACCCCAGCTCCAACAGTATCTATGGAATATCACTGACCGAGGCAACTCACCCAAGCCTTGGGGTCAGAGCTTTTTAGGTGCCTGGTCGTGTACACATGGGTGGTTGGCTGTGTGGTTGATCCTTAGCCTTCAGCCCCTCTGGAGGTCAAGATGACGTCCAAATTGCTTTGCTAGGATAGATCATCAGAGTGGCCCCAGATAAATAAAGATATTCTTAGGAGGAAGGACATTACAGGGGCTTAGAGGTCACCTCCCGGGAGGAAAGATCAGACCTCCCTTTACGGGACATTAAATTGTTTACTACACAAAGCCCACTTCCTTTCCACTTGAGAATTCATTGCAGTGGCTGGGACACAATTCTTAACCATCTCTAAGCGTGTACCTTTTGTACAGAGCACCGGTAAACGCACATTTGTGGCCCACCTCTCTTTTGTAGATTTCCACATGACCAAATGGTCTTTTCCCTCCTTGATTCAGTCTTTGCCCCAGAATCCTCTGCACACACTTCCGGGGATGCCAAGGCGGGGTCAATTAGGACCACGGGTGGGGCTGTCCACACCTGCAGGGGAGGGCGAGCTGCCTCACTGGGCCTGCCAGCTGCTTCCCTGAGGTGGGGAGTGGTTTTCTGCCTGGGCTGTGTCTTCCTACTAATCATGCATGGCATGGCGCACCAGGCAGGGGGCCCCAGGTTGCTGTCATCTCTGAGGTGGGGGATTGTTCGTAGCACCTCCTGCTGAGGCTGGCCTCCCCCTGGCTGGGCTAGTGCTCCCCCTACATTCTCTGGTGAGCAGGGAGTGGCGTTGTGTTCATTCCACCAAAGGACAGGCTGAGAAAATGATGTGATTTACCTACAGCCACACACCCCGTACCTACTGAGTTAGGATTTTAATCCACGCCAATCTAACTTGGACTATGGTCAACCACCCTGAAGCCCAGAAGGCTTTGGGAGGACTCACGAACACTTGTTGTAAGTTTATGTGCATTCTTTCATTTAATCCTACCTCCCTTGAGAGCGAATACTTAGAATATTTCCATTTATTTTTTTATAGAGGGGAAGGCGGAGGCTACTAGTGTGCTGCTTTGGGCATGAAGTCCATTGGGCTCATTCAAATGCCATCGAGGGCAGCTAGTCTGAGTCTAGCTAGGTGCCATGTATTAGCTTCAATGCAGCCTCGAAACTAATCCTCTATGATCAGGCTTTCTAAACAGTAGTCCGATAGCCATTCTTCAGTGCACACAATATTTTACAAAATGCTTTCACGATTCACCATGCAAGAGATCGTCCCAGCAGCCCTGCAAGGGTAGCGAGAATCATCCTTACTCTGCAGATGAGCAGAGTAAGGGTCGGAGAGGTCAAGGACCTGGCCCCCAGCAGGGCTGGAGTCAGGTATTCTGGTTCCTCATTCCTAGTTGCCTCCTGCTCACACAGAACATCAAATTTGCCTTCCTTTTGTTTTGATTACGTCCTTACCTTCAAAGAGGACGGGGAGATACAGCTGAGAAATTTATCCCTCCAGCTGGAGGAAGTTCAAGTCTGCACTTCTACAAAATGTCTCTTTTTGTTTCCCCAAAGGAATTATCTTACCAGCCATCGTCTCTACCGATCCCCAAAAGCTTCCTTTTCTGTTTGTTCTGGATGCCAAAAGTTTCACAGAACTGGCTCGTGCGTCCATTGACGCAGAGGTGCACCTGGATCTCCACGGGTTATTCATCCCAGACGCAGACGGGGACGCGAGGGAGCAGGCCCCTTCCCAGGAACAGCCGGACAGGATTCCAGACTGCCATGTGGCCCCATGGACCTGAGTGGGTTGGGCCTGTGGGCTCACTTCCTCTCTGGGTGAAGGGGGATCCTTCATTTCCTTTTGACCTTATGCTTTCTGCGGTGGCTTTGAGACAAAGGTATGGAAATAGTGTCTTTTCTTTCGTCTTATTTTGGCCCTAAAACCATTGTTTGAAAGTGGATCAAATATGTATTGATTAGCTTAAGCGTTTCCAAGAAAGCCCTTTTCCTTTCTTATAAAACCATGCCCAGAAATTGTATGAAGGCACATAATCATCCTTCTTAGAATGAGCAACCACTGATGTACCAGAGAAGAGGCAGGTAACTATTTGTCATTGCTCCTTCCTCCTGCCCCTCGTCTCCCTCTTTCCAGTAGACTAGACTGTGCATCTGGGAGATCTAGATTTCTCAACCATGCGTTGTTAGTAAAATCTGTGGCCAGGAAGGCATATTGCCTTGTGGTCATTCCATGCAAGGCATGGCATAATGTAAAATAGTGAAAGTGTTAAAGTCTGTTCCAACCTTATTTAATTTTTACGTGGCTTCTTTTCTCTGAAGTTCTTCTAAGGCAATAAAATAGAGTGCAGTTCGTAGCCAGCCAGATGCCCTAGTACAACAGATTGGGACAGCAGATTGGTGTGGCAGTCCCCTTTGCAGGAGAGGGTTAAGGAGCTGGATGGTGACCCAACTGGCCATGGCCAAGGGGCTAGAATCCAGGACCAAGGCCCAGGCCAGGGCTGGCATGAGGAGTTCTTGCCTAATGCTGAGAACCAGGGCAGGGAGCCCTGCCAGTGTTTGTAGGGGAGAGAAGGCTCCCCAAGCTTAATGTGCTGCTGGGATAGACCAGGTGTTTGGGCAGAGATGGAAGGAGGTTGGTAGTAGGGATGATGGAAGCTTGGAACACGCCAAGAAGGGTCCCACGTGAGTACTGGGAACCCATGGACATTTGAGTCTCACCTTTATAGTCCAGTGGGTTTGTGGTATAGAGACCCAAAGGCAGGCAAGATAATCCTCAAGGACCCATGTCATAGGGTCAGAGAAGCTGGGATTCCACCCTTATTCTGCACCTGCCTCCTCTCCTAAATCTGGATTTCACTCAGTCACCAGTAGAGATTCAGTGACATGTATTGAGACAGGAAGAAAGGAATCTCTGGTGACATTGCATGGAATACCCCAGAGCGGGCAGAGCTCTGAAGGATGGTCTGGACTTTTACCCTGCAAAAACACCATGAAGCCATACTTAGCTCCCACTGAAATGCAGGGTCCATCAGGTCTGGGGGTTGGGTTTTGTTTTGGGGGTGTTTTTTGGACATTTTTATTTAAACGATTGAAGATTCATGTACGCGTGTAAGAAATAATACAAAAGAGATCCCTCGTGGACTTTACCCATTTTTTCCAATGGTAACATTATAGTATAGTTATCACAACCAGGATATGACATTGATTCAGTCCATACATCTTTTTCAGATCCCCCCAGTTTTATTTGTATTCGTTGGTGTGCATGCTTAGTTCTACACAATTTTATCATGCGTGTAGATTCCTTATTCCACCGCCATGATCAAGATACCAAATGGCACATCAACACAAAGATTCTGTGGGGTGCTTTCTTATCACTATACCTACCTGTCTCCCACCATGACCTTCCCCCATCCCTAACCCATGGCAACCACCATTTCTAAAATTTTATCATTTGAAAACTGCTGTATCAATGGAATCACCAGTATTAACTGTTGGGGATTGACTCTTCTCCACAGAATTGCTTGCAGACTCATCCACATTGTTCTATGTTGGGTGTGTTTTGTTCACTACTGTATCTTCGGCACCTAGAACACTGCCTGGTGCCTCACAGGCTCTCAATAATAAATATTTGTTGAGTGATTGCACGAGTGAATTCCTTCAACACACAGATTGTTGGTCGATAATGTACCAACAAGAAACGGATATTTTACTAACGCTCTCCTGGGAAGACGAGGAAGACAGTTTACATGGACCCCAATGGCGACACACAGGTTCCTGCCCTGCCATCCCTGACCCCCTCCTCTCTCTCTTTCCCTGTTGGTTCCTCAGATCCCCTCCACCACCCCAGTCTTTCCTTTTCACCCTCAGCTCATGGATCCCATTAAACAGAAACGTGACCCCTGGAAATGGCAGAATGAAGACCATCTACGCTTCCTTTGGAGATCCCAGCACCTCCAGCCTTCATGAGATGGGCTGGGAGGAAATGCCAGCCATGGTGGCCTGAGACCAGTACGACTGAGGTCTGCATTCAGATGGCACAAACGGAAAAGAGTCGACAGATGTGACACTCACCTACTCATTATTCTACTTCAGATATTTGAGAAGAGGGTGGAATTAAAAAGCGCTTCCCCACCCCCACTCTGCTCAATGCCAATTGCCAAACAGTATCCAGACCTACTCACGAAAAAGGGTGCAGTTCTGCGGGGAAGAAAAATATGTCCGTGGTTTGTTTACCTTGTTCAAGATGACAGGTGAGATACCAGACTGATGAGGAAGGCTGGCGCACCAAATCTTTTTTCCCCCAGTTTCAAAAACATCACAGGTCAGCGGCAGGATACCTGATTTATCTTGACCCTTAACTCCATTGTGTTTCATACACAGGCCAGGGTAATTAGCCCAAAATGTCACAGGAGCTAAGATGCACGCGCCTTTCTTGAAGGCGCCACAAGGCGGTCCGTCTTATCCTCTGAGCCTTCCTTGTTATGCTTCATGTGGGTGTAACGCATGACCAGGAAGTTTTACAGGAACAATCAATCACTCAGATTTGTTTGTTGCTTTGATAAAGCCACAGCATTTCACAAGTGCCCTGAGATGTGTCGGGTACTGGGTAAGCCCTCAGATGTTTGCAGACCCACTGACTTTTTCCTTCAAAGGTTTTTCTACTTTGACTCCACTTCAGGAATAAGCTGGGTGTATACTTGGACGAATCAACGCATGAGAAATCTTTGCGCTTTCGTGCTACATCCGCGTTACTGGTCCACACTCATTTCCTCCCAACCAAAGTTCCCCAGCGTGGGGCTGACGCCATTAGGAAGGGTTGCTGGTCCAGGTTAAGCACAAACACCTTTGATCACTTCTTAAGTTGTTCAAAGACTGTTTGGGTGGTTTTTAAATGGCCAAGAGAAGTCTTCCCCTTGGCAAATCAGGACATGCAGAAGAGTCATTACCACCTTCCTCATCGTCCAACGCTCATGAGGCCTGTGGCCTCTACCTCAACTTCCTTCTAGGCGTTTAGCTCAGCCGCCAGGTGCAGACGCGCAAACAGTCGGCTGTACCAGCTGTTGGGGAACATCGGGAAACAGTCTCTTGAGGGCAAGCACCAGCAAAGAGGCTGAGGATTTTCTTGGACAAGGCGAGCAGACAGAGACGTGGAGGCACCATGTTTGGGCAAGGTGGGGATGGGCCAGCCTTCTTTCCTCTTCGTGCTCAGGCAAGGCTTCCCGGAGCCGGGCGCCTCCAGGAGCGGAGTGTTTGGAGGGAGCTCATGGCAGACAGCTGTCCTTGCAGGCGGAGGGTGTGCGCAGGAAAAGAGTTGGAGATGGGTGAACAAAGCACTCGGAGAGTGAATTCCCCAAAAAAGAGCAGTTGAAAGAGTGAGAGAATTAGGTGAATATTTTTCTCTGGTTATAAAAGTCAATATGTGTCCATTGTGGAACACCTGGTTACATTGAAGAAGGAATGAGAAAGACACCCGTAGTCCCACTGTCAAAGGAAAACCCCTGAAATCATTCTGCTGTGGTTTTGTTTTTCAATACTTAAAAATATTTTTGTGCATGGGGCGCCTGGGTGGCTCAGTCGATCAAGCATCTGACTTCGGCTCAGGTCACGATCTCATGGTTTGTGAGTTCGAGACCCATGCCAGGCTCTGTGCTGACAGCTCAGAGCCTGGAGCCTGCTTCGGATTCTATGTCTCCCTCTCTCTCTCTGCCCCTCCCCTACTCATGCTCTGTCTCAAAAATAAACATTAAAAAAAATTAATTAATTAAATAAAATATTTTGGTACAGGGGTGCCTGGGTGGCCCAGTCAGTTAAGCTTCCAACTTCGGCTCAGGTCATGATCTCGCCGTTCGTGAGTTCGAGCCCCACATCAGGCTCTGTGCTGACAGCTCGGAGCCTGGAGCCTGCTTCTGATTCTGTGTCCCCCTGTCTCTCTCTGCCCCTCCCCTGCTCGCACTCTGGCTCTCTCTGTCTCTCAAAAATAAATAAACATTAAAAAAAGTTAAAATAGTTTTGTACACAAATTATATAGTAGCAGTTAGTTTCTAACCTACCTACCAGCTTATAACCTGCTTCTTTCATTTAACATATGATACAAGTATTTTCTCAGACTACTAAATTCTGGTTTTTTAAAGTTCATTTATTTGAGAGAGAGAGAGAGAGAGAGAGAGAGAGAGAGAGAGAGAGAGAGATCATGTGCTTGCAAGCGGGGGAGGAACAGAGAGGGAAAGAGAGAATCCCAAGCAGGCTCCCCCCTGGCGGCTCAGAACCATGATGGCCTGAGCTGAAATCTAGTGTCAGATGCTTAACCTACTGAGCCAGCCAGGCGCCCCAAACTACTAAATTCTTCTAGTGGGAACACATTATTTCATCTTTGGGACATGGCATGATATATGCTATCCTACCACTGGACATTTAGGTTGTTTCCAATTTCTGACTATTAGAAATCATGCCAGATCGGTAACTTTGTGCACATGTTTCCAGAGTTCACCCCTCTCCCCGCTCTGGATTCAAATGCTTGTTGATGATATTTTCTTTGGCTAGGTTCCCAACTTGGTATTTCTTGAGCCAAAGAGTAGAAAAACAAGGTTTTGGGTGTTCTTTGACAGGCCTAAGGTTTTGGTTTGATTCACAGGAAAATGAGAAGCCATTATAGAATGTGAGAGGTTCGCATGGTCAAAGTGGCTGTAGGGAAATCCACATTTCTCAACAAATAGGAAAAAAGGGGTACATGGTAATATACCTTTCATCCAAATCCTCCCTTCTTCCTTTTCCCTGTTCTGTCTTCTCCGTATCTTCCCATTCTGTATAGACACTTGTTCTTTTTCCGGTATGTATTCACTTCACTCATTCGTTTATTTATTCATTCATTCAGTGATAACCAAGCCTATGTTGGCAACTGTCCTCAGGGAACTGTCCTCGGGGAACATACCAACACACTTCAGTGGAACGGTGGTAAGAAAAGGGAACACCCCAACACACTTCAGTGGAATGGTGGTAAGAAAATAGAACACCCCCGGGGACACCCAATGCTACCTTGAAATCCCTACCCACCCCTGGTTTGGCTGATATATGAAGGATGGCAGCAGGGAACTAGGGGAAATGGGCAATGCAGATAAAGAAATAGCCCTGTGCTTAGGCCTGGAATCAGAAGAGAAGTTGGAGAATTTAGAAAAAAACTTGAACTTTGGAGTAGAAAGTGGGCAGCAAAGACAAGTTTTCAGCCAGATCCCCAATTCATCTGTACTGAGGTAAGAAATGGACAAATCTCCAGTAGCCTCTTCAAGGACAATCAGGGACTGAGAGTCATTCTTCTTAATAATACTTTTTTGAGATCTAATCCATATACCATAAAATTCACTCATTGAAAGTATACAACTCAATGGTTTTTAGTATATTCAGTGCTGTGTAACAATCACCACTAATTTTAGAACATTTTCATTGCCCTATGAAAGGAACCCTGTCCCCATTAGCTATCACTCCTTCTTCCACACCCCTACCCCAAATTCTAGGCAACCACAAGTCTACTTTCTATTTCCATGGATCTCCCTGTTCCAGACATTTCATATAAATTGCATCACACAGTGTATGAGGGTTTTGTGACAGACTTCTTTCACTCAGCATAATGTTTTCACGTTTGTTTGTATTGCATGAATCAACACTTCGTTTCTTTTGTGGCCGAATAATGTTCCCTTCTATGAATAGACCACATTTTGTCTATCCATGCATCAGGTGATAGACATCTGGGTTGTTTACTCTCTTTGGTTGTCATGAATAATGCTGCTGTGAACGAACATTCATGGACCAGTTTCTATGTGGACCTATGTTTTCATTCCTCTTATGTATATTCCTAGGAGCAAAACTGCCGTGTCATATGATAACTGTATATTTGACATTTAGAGAAACTGCCAAGCTGCTTTTCAAAGTGACTGCCTCGTTTTACTTTCCACCAGAAATATATGAGCATTTCAGTATATCCACATCCTTCCTAATTTGTTATGGTCTGATGTTTTTATGTTAGCCATCCTGGATACAATGATGTGGTGTCTTGTGATTTTGATTTGCATTTCCCTAATAACTAATGATGTTAGACATCCTTCCATGTGCTTATTGGCCATCTGTATATCTTCTTTGGTGAACTACCTACTCCAATCTTTTCCCGTTTTTAGACTGGGGTATTTGTCTTTTTATTGTTGAGTTGTGAGGGTTCTTTATATATTATAGATGTAAATCCCTTATCAAGTATGTGATTTGCAATGTTTTCTCCCATTTTGTGGGTGATCTTTATTTTCTTCATGGTGCCATTTGAAGTACAAAAGTTTTAAGATTTTGGTGAAGTCTACTTTATGTAATTTTTCTTCCATTTCTTCTGTCATATCCAAGAAATCATGACTTAACCCATGGTCCCAAAGATATGTTACTGTTTGCTTTTATGAATTTGATGGCTTTAGCACTTACGTTCAGGTCTATGATCCATTTTGAGTTAATTTTCGCAGACAGTGTGATGTGTATGGATATCTGGTTGTGCCAGCATCAAAGTCACTTTTTAGGGTTGATAAATCTTACAGGCAGGAAATAAAAATGTGTCTCCTTTTCTTCCATCATTCCGTAGAAGATGTTTCCTTCAGCCAGCAAGAAGGAGCTATAGGGCAGCTGTCTGGTGACCCCAGCGAGGCCTTGGTTCAGAAACAGGGAAGCCAAGATGGAAGGGCTCAGTCAGTGGTGGTCCCATGGCTCCTCTGTGTTGGAGGCTTAATATCCTCCCTCCATCTTCATCACTGGGTCTTGGCAAACTTCCAGGTAAGTCTAGCATATGTGTGTTCAATTCACAGTCATATGCTCTGGTGGGATTTTCCGGTATTTTCTTTCTTTAAGCACATCCACTGTGTTCCAGGAGGGCGGAGGGTGACTAGTCTTCCTAGAGGTTCTAGCCCATCCCAGGAGGAAAAAGAGATGGTGGGCGGCTTTGAAGCTAGTGAGAAGCAGGAGTTCCCTCATTTTGTCTTCAGTCTGCCATTGGGTTGAGCAAGCTAGAGACTTAGCCTAGTTCAAAGTTTGTTAAATTACCGTCGGAATGAACATGGGAGGAACAGTGATGGCTACATCACTCATGGGTCTTCTCCGGTAAGGGCAGGAACTGAGCTTTCTTATTACAGCAACAACTGTATAACAACAGCTGACACGTACTGACAACTCATGCTGTGCCAAGCACTGAGCCTAAGCACTGCGTGTGCTGGGTCTCATATAATCCTCATAATGCCCCGGAGGTAGATCCTGGTACCATTCCCATTTTATGGATGAGAAAACTGAGTCTCAGAAGAGTTAAGTGACTTGCCTAAGATCACCCAGATGGTTCTGGAGACTCCGAAGTCCGACTTCTTGACCACTACTTTTATTGCCTGAATCTTACTCACTTCTCCACTTTCGGGGCTTAGTACAGTGCCTGAGACAAAGAAGATACAAGTAATAGGACAATGATGAGCACAGGGGCTCCAGGCTCACTGCCTGGGTTTTGATCCTCTCTGTTTCACCATCCATAAAATAGAGATAGTACTTGTACCTCATTCGAAGGGTTGTTGTGACACGTACACGAAGAGTGCCAGACACATAGTAGCTGCTCAATAAACTGTAGCCATTGTATTAATGAGCCTTAAAACAGTCGAGAGGTTGAATCTTGGCTCCTGATAAGTCTCGGGACCTTTGTTAAGTTATTTAACTTCTCTGCGCCTCGGTTTCCTCATCTGTGACATGAGGAGGAGAACAGAACGTATGTACCTCATAAGGGTACCGTGAGGATGAAATAAATCCAGGTTCTTAAAGTCCTCAGAAGAAGTGCCTGCCCCTTAGTCACCACAATCTGAATTAGCTGAGCAGATGCAGGCCATTCAGGCAGAGGATGCTACTCATAAACCCTTGAACGAAGGATGTTCCTCCTCTCTCTGGGCAAGACCTTCTCCTGCTGTGGTGAGAACAGAAGGGGTCAGCCTCCCAGGCACCCAGAGTCATCCAATCCACCCGGCTGGCCAGTGGCATCAGAAATGACATGAGCAGATCACTGGCACACTCCCAATAGCTGCCGCACACTGACAGCCTAATTGGTCACGGGCAGGACACGGTTATGATGCTTAGAGAAAGGGTCTCTGAGTTACTTGGTTTGGGTTCAAATAGCAGCCGTCTCCTAGGATCTATGCGACAACTAAAGGGATACTACGCATCACGGGCACAGGACAGCACCTGGCACAGAATGGCAGTGGTCCGCGTGGCAGGCATTTTCGTCGGTTTGGTTCATCACCATATCCTTGTCGGAATTAGCACTGTTTTCTACGGCTGCTGGAACATATCACCACAGACCTGGTGGTGTAAAACAACGCAGACTTATTCCTACAGTTCTGGAGGTCAGAAGTCCAAAATGAGTCTTACAGGAATAAAATCAACATGCAGAAGGACAGCTCCCCTCTGGAAGCTGCAGGGGAGAGTCTGTTTCCTTGCCTCTTTCAGCTTCCTCATCCCCTGGCTCGGGGACTCACGCTTTTGTCCCCCTGGTTTAGCATCCCACTGCTTTCCTCCTTCTGTAGTCAAAGTCTCCCTGTACCTCCCTCTTATAAGGACCCATATGATGACACTGCACCAGATAACTCAGGATACCCTTGCTATCTAAAATCCTTAACTTCATGACATCTGCAAAGTCCCTTTGCCATCTAGGTGACATTCACAGGTTCCAGGCATTTGGACCTGGATGTCTTTGGGGACCATTATCCAGCCCACCCCAAGCACCTGGCTCATAATGCACTCAGTAAATCCCAGCCACGTGAACATCAGACGCTCAGTGGTGCCATCGGCATCACCTCGGCTGGGTCCTTTCAGGAATGACCACAGCAGCACATCTGGCCTCTTGCCTTCAGGTCCTACTCACATTTCACCTTCAGTGTGGCTTTCCTGGCCCCAAGTTAACTGCCAGTTAACTCCTCCATCACACACACTCGTCATCCCTTTATCACATGGTTTAACGTAGTCTTCCCCGAAGCACGTTTGGCCTTCTAGCATACTGTAAAATTTATGTGTTTACTAGGGTTATTGGTATTTGTCCATCCTCCTCACTGGAGTGTAAGCTCAAGGATTACTTCAGGGCAAGGACTTTTTTGGGTTTTTGTTTATATTTTTGTAATGTTTACTTATTTTTGAGAGAGAGAAAGACAGAGCACAAGTTGGGTAGGGGCAGAGAGAGAGGGAGACACAGAATCTGAAGCAGGCTCCAGTTTCTGAGCTGTCAGCAAAGAGCCCAATGCGGGGCTTGAGCTCGCGAACTGTGAGATCACGACCTGAGCCGAAGTCGGATGTTTAACCAACTGAGCCACCCAGGCGGCCCTTGTTTTTCTTTTTAAGTTTATTTATTTATTTAGAGAGAGTGTGTGTGTGAGCATGAGTGCGAGCTGGGGAGGGGCAGAGAGCGAGGGAGAGAGAGAGAGAATCCCAAGCAGAGCCCAATGTGGGGATCGAATTCATGAACCTTGAGATCATGACCAGAGCCAAAATCGAGAGTCAGATGCTTAACCAACTGAGCCAGCCAGGCGCCCCATGGACTTTTCTGTTGTAGCCTCACACGTCTCCTAGGGGTCTAGAACTGTATTAGGCACACGCAGGTGTTCAGTACCTGAGTGTTGAGTGAACATACGACCTGGATGGCCTGACCGAGTTTCTCTCAGCTGTGAGTCTGGTTCTTTATCTTTTAGGGTTGATCATGGCTTTCATAACAATGAAGGCATTGCCTGTGGTGAGGCCAATCGATTCCAGGCAACCTAGGTATTATCCTGTTCACGGTCCCCACCCCATTCCATTAACGCACTGGCAATTTTGATCTCTAAAACACACATAACCTCAATTCTTATCTCTGCCAAGACTTGCGAAAGTCTGGGAGGGAAGTGAATGGTTTGGCTTTGGATTTTACTGGAAGATAAACTTTTGAGAATTCAGATGGTGTAGAGATGGAAGGGTAAGTTGACCCTGGCTGAAGTCACCAAGGTTTGTTGTATTGAGTTATACTGTTTCTACTAGCTGGCCTGGAGGTAATGAGTTTGCGACTTCTGCGGTTGGCTGGCCTCAAGAGGTTGGCTGTAGAAAGGTCTTGAGCACTGACTGGGGGGCGGGGGGCGTGGTGGAGGGGCTTCGGGGTGCCCATGAGCTTCCTGAAACTGCACGTGAACGTCTGTGTGTCTGTATGTTCTTAAGGAGAGTAGAGCCCATTGCTTCTATCAGCTTCTTAGGAGGGAGAGTGGAGAACTTCTGCACTGCCCCAGCTGGGAGGGCTCTGCGATCCTGGGACTCACAACACACAGCTCAAATGAACAGGCTGTACACAGATCAGGGATGAGAGGCATGACCCCTTCCCCCCACTCCTAACCCTTAACAGGTCCCCAAGCTACTATGTTAAAGGTGCTGAACCAGGCACTGGTTCAGATCTCAAGTTGACCAGTCTCATTTTTTGTTAAGACTCTGGGTGTTTCTTGAGGCCTCAGTAGTTCTCCTTGGTAGACTTGGGACTGCTCTACTTTCTCTGATTTTGTGTGAATATGAAGGCTCTTCAAGGGTACAGAATGCTGTCGAATCGCATAGTATTAACGATAAAGAAAATATGTGCCTTTTTTTTGTTATGTGGCAACAGACTGGCTTGCTCCCTGCTCTGTTTATCTGTCCATCCATCCATCCAATAAGTATTCACTTCCTCACAACATTCACAAAAGCTACTGTGTATGTAACAAAAGCTTTATCTAAAACACTAAGCCTCATTTTAGAAAAATCATGAAAAAACTGAGGTTCAGAGAGCTCAGGTTACTTGCTCAAAGTCTAGAAAGTGATGGAGCAGAGCCTCATTGGAAACTTATTGATGCAATGGCAATGTTCACCATGATCACCTAACAAAATACTCCTGAAGGCGAGAGGGGAGGGGAGATACCCCCCCCGGAAGGAAAATGGGAGGACAGAGCACCTCGAAATCTATGTTTTACCTTAACATGCTTACATGTGTTACAGTGTACTTTGTATTATGCCCCTGCTTTTTTTTAATATCAAAGAATTTCCCAGCAATCTTTGCGTACAAGTGATGCTCTGGGAAGGGGGTATACCCCAGGGTAGTTCTGCTACATTCCGCACCACAAACACCACTTTGCACATCGGATGTTTGCTGTTTATTTTTGAGATTTACCTCCTGCGTGGCACTGGAGGAGGGCAAGAGCTGAACCTGATTCCTTCTTGCTGCCTCCCGAGACCTTGTCCAGTATCCAGCGTGAAATAAGTACACAGATCATGAATCTGGCAAATACTTATTGAATGCCCGGCATGCACCAAGCCAGGTGCTATGGGAGATAGAGACAGATAGGACGTGCTCCCTGCTCTCGAGACAATTACAACTGAGCTGGAGAGGCCACGCTTCCAGAATCTGCTTGAAAAGGATCTTTCTGAGACTCTTGGCACAACAGTTTTAAAAGCTTGGGACTATAACAGAGCAATAGAAGAGATGGGAGGTAATTAGACACCAAACAAAAAGTGTCATTAATAGGACAAATTTCATGAAAAGTGACAACCTGTTCCTCTGGAAAGGCAGCATTGTGTCAAGTTAGCACAACTCGCAGTCACAAAGTACAAATTATCAATGATGAAATATGCCTGTTTCCCAAGAGGGAAAGGCTGAGAGCCAAGTCGCCTGCTCTAGATGCTATCTGTTTCGCCACAAGGGTCTGAGCCTCTGATTTCTTGGCCTGTGAGGGCCACGTTCAGAACTCGGGCAGCACACATAAACCCACGTCCCTTTCTGACAGACGTGGGTAGGTTCTGGGTTTATCAGAGTGAATTCTATTCATCAGATGTTCACTGAACTGACTGTGTCAGTACCGGCCATGCAGTGAGAGGCAGGGGTGCGTGATGAGGGCTCACACAGGGAGTCAGAATCCTGGCTCTTCCGTGAATCAGCTGGGGGATGTGGGACAGGGTTTCTACCTCTCTGAGCCTTGGTTTTTTAAACCGCAGCATGGGATCCTAATACTTACCTTGTAGGTTGTTGTAAAGGTTCATTGGGGTGACAGACAAAAAGCTCCCTGCACAGGGAACTGTACTAAGACCTCCACAAATGGGCACAAGTAGAAGGGGCAATTGTGGCAAAATTAAGGAAGTGATCTCTGATGTCCAGAAACCTTAGGTCTAGTGAAAAGACTAGTATGCTAACAGATAAAGGTCATTACTGTGATGGGTGTGACTGTTTCAAGTGAACATTTACTGAGCACTTACTATGTGCCAGATAGTGTGTTAAACAACTGTAGCTGGATAATCCCATTTCTTCTGCACAAAACTCTATGAGGCAGGAACCACAGTTGTTCCCGGTGGGGAACGTGAGGCGTAGGCAGGTTAAGTAACATGCCCAGGGTCACGGGGCTGGAAAGCGGTCAGAAGCAGGGTTTGAACCCAGAGGTCTGGCTCCAGAAGGAGACTTCAAGGCACAACAATGAGAGAGAAGGGAAGCCCAGAGAGGCTTCACAGAGGTGATGCTAAAACGGCGAGCCGTTTTTCAGGCACCAGAGTCATGTGAGAAGGCGTCCAGGCAGGAGGGAGAAGCAGAGGCAAAGAGCTGGCAGGACGAACAGGTGGGTGCGTGCAGGGGGGTTGGGATGAGGGTGGTGGGGATCTGGAAGATGAGGGGCAGACAGCGTGACACCTCAGATGCCAGGCATGGGGACTTGGCCTTTTACCTGGAGGAAATAAGGGGCCGATGAAGGATGAGGAAGACAGGGTCGCTGGCAGGTAGGGAATGTGCCTATCTGCTAGGCTCAGAGAGACATGACTCTGGCTGGTCTATTTGAGAATTTCTTTTTTTTTCAACGTTTATTTATTTTTGGGACAGAGAGAGACAGAGCATGAACGGGGGAGGGGCAGAGAGAGAGGCAGACACAGAATCGGAAACAGGCTCCAGGCTCCGAGCCATCAGCCCAGAGCCCGACGCGGGGCTCGAACTCACGGACCGCGAGATCGTGACCTGAGCTGAAGTCGGACGCTCAACCGACTGCGCCACCCAGGCGCCCCTAAAAAATTATTTTTTAAAAAAAGCATGAATGAATAAATGAGTCTCTGAAGAACTGAATTGTGAGCTGGATTTAAGAAAATGCATATGGCCAAGGTGGATCACAGACCTAAATGTGAAAGGGAAACAGAAAAGTTTCCAGAAGGGGCACCTAGGTGGCTCAGCTGGTTGAGCGTCTGACTTCAGCTCAGGTCCTGATCTCGTGGTTCATGAGTTTGAGCCCCGTGTTGGGCTCTGTGCTGACAGCTCAAAACCTGGAGCCTGCTTTGGATTCTGTGTTTCCCCC